CGAGTGTGAGGAGAGTAACCAGACGAGTGTGAGGAGAGTAACCAGACGAGTGTGAGGAGAGTAACCAGGCGAGTGTGAGGAGAGTAACCAGACGAGTGTGAGGAGAGTAACCAGACGAGTGTGATGAGAGTAACCAGGCGAGTGTGAGGAGAGTAACCAGACGAGTGTGAGGAGAGTAACCAGACGAGTGTGAGGAGAGTAACCAGACGAGTGTGAGGAGAGTAACCATACGAGTGTGAGGAGAGTAACCAGACGAGTGTGATGAGAGTAACCAGACGAGTGTGAGGAGAGTAAGCAGACGAGTATGAGGAGAGTAAGCAGACGAGTGTGAGGAGAGTAACCAGGCGAGTGTGAGGAGAGTAACCAGACGAGTGTGAGGAGAGTAACCAGACGAGTGTGAGGAGAGTAACCAGACGATTGTGAGGAGAGTAACCAGGCGAGTGTGAGGAGAGTAACCAGGCGAGTGTGAGGAGAGTAACCAGGCGAGTGTGAGGAGAGTAACCAGGCGAGTGTGATGAGAGTAACCAGACGAGTGTGAGGAGAGTAAGCAGACGAGTATGAGGAGAGTAAGCAGACGAGTGTGAGGAGAGTAACCAGGCGAGTGTGAGGAGAGTAACCAGACGAGTGTGAGGAGAGTAACCAGACGAGTGTGAGGAGAGTAACCAGACGAGTGTGAGGAGAGTAACCAGACGAGTGTGAGGAGAGTAACCAGACGAGTGTGAGGAGAGTAACCAGGCGAGTGTGAGGAGAGTAACCAGACAAGTGTGAGGAGAGTAACCAGGCGAGTGTGATGAGATGGGGAGGAGTGAGGCTGAAAACTGTGGAGTCAGTGAGTCGATGGGACAGATCATTTGAACGTGCTCCTCCCGAACATTGTTAATAAAACTTGTTATTGAGAGGAAAGTGTGCAGCACATATTTACATATTCATTTAAATGTCTTCTTAGCAGCGAGACCATTTGTATGTTGAGGATGCTATATACAGTACATACACACATATACATTCAGGGAAAAAAACAGAAGCCAACATTACATTGACAAAAAATGATTATAGACACTTTCTGGAAACCACTTCAGTAAATGAACATCAGTGCTTTTAGCATTTATTCCTAGCCTGTTATGAACATGATTTCACTATCTATTGAATCAATATAGCTTATATATCACAGTGCACTATATACACAAATCATCGTGACAAACTGATAAGCAGAAAAAAAATGGTTAATTTCTTCATAAAATTGTATGCTTATTTTTAACTAAATATAACAACATTATGATTTGAAAACTGAAATGAAGTATTATGTCAGAGCAGTGATGTAAGCATCAGAAGATATGAGGTACTTTTCTGAAACATTAAATTGCTGTTTGCTCTTTGAATACGGACATCTTTACTTTTACTTTAGTATTTTGCTAGTCAGCTCCCGACGCGATGTATGTGTCGCAATAAATAATAAACCAGCAAATGATCTATCCTGAAAAGACGCTGATTTATTTTAAGTTTAAAGCTGCTGTAGGTAACTTTTGAAAAAATGTATTTGCTAAAACTGTCATTATGTCCTGACAGTAGAATATGAGACAGATAATCTGTGTAAAAATCAAGCTCCTCTGGCTCATCCCAGTGGTCCTATTGCCATTTGCAAGAAATACACGCTCCCAGTCAGAAACAACCAATCAGAGCCAGGAGGAGTGTCTTAGCAGTGTCAATCACGCTCGTGTACGCGCTGATCACACCCCTCTCTTGCACAGCGCGAGCGCCGGAGCGCGAGCCGTCGTTCAAACTCAAGATTGCTGGCGTGATGCAGCTGTGCTTATGACGGAGAAACAACCTAAACTGCCAATTCTCGAGTGACACCTGCTCATAAAACAAAGAGGTAAAAGGAAAAAGACCGATGATGATAAACAAGCGAAAAAGAAAGAATTACACAGAGCCCATTGACTCGGTGTCAAAACTCTAGCCGCATAACATGTAGATAAAATGTCACGCACTCTGCTAAGCAACAATTGAAACCTGCTAATTCACTGGCTTGTCATGTTGCTGAAATAATGTACTAGCACACCTTATCTAGCATTATATATCGCTAGAATAATTACTTACATACTGTAACGTTAGTTACCGTTATATTAACGTTATCTTACTAGCTATTTATAACTTATAGAAAGAGTGCAACGTTATAAAGTTACATGTAGGCTATTGGAAAATACATAATGATTTGAGGACCAAGTTTGTAGTCAAAGTATGGGCAGGCCATAGTCAATGTAAAGCATATTATTGACGTTTAGTCCCTATTAGTGAATGTGCCATATAACTTTTTATCCGCCGTTATGGGTGGCCCTGTTTACTAGCCTGCGCGTTCACGACGGGCTCCGCTGTGGAGGACGAGCTGTGGAGGGCGAGCTGTGGAGGACGAGCTGTGGAGGGCGAGCTGAGGAGGACGAGCTGTGGAGGACGAGCTGTGGAGGACGAGCTGTGGAGGACGAGCTGTGGAGGGAGGGCTGTGGAGGGCGAGCTGTGGAGGACGAGCTGTGGAGGGCGAGCTGAGGAGGACGAGCTGTGGAGGGAGGGCTGTGGAGGACGAGCTGTGGAGGACGAGCTGTGGAGGACGAGCTGTGGAGGGCGAGCTGTGGAGGACGAGCTGTGGAGGGCGAGCTGTGGAGGACGAGCTGTGGAGGGCGAGCTGAGGAGGACGAGCTGTGGAGGGAGGGCTGTGGAGGGCGAGCTGAGGAGGACGAGCTGTGGAGGGAGGGCTGTGGAGGACGAGCTGTGGAGGACGAGCTGTGGAGGAGGAGCTGTGGAGGACGAGCTGTGGAGGACGAGCTGTGGAGGACGAGCTGTGGAGGACGAGCTGTGGAGGACGAGCTGTGGAGGACGAGCTGTGGAGGACGAGCTGTGGAGGGCGAGCTGTGGAGGACGAGCTGTGGAGGGCGAGCTGTGGATGACGAGCTGTGGAGGACGAGCTGTGGAGGACGAGCTGTGGAGGACGAGCTGTGGAGGACGAGCTGTGGAGGGCGAGCTGTGGAGGACGAGCTGTGGAGGGCGAGCTGTGGAGGACGAGCTGTGGAGGACGAGCTGTGGAGGACGAGCTGTGGAGGACGAGCTGTGGAGGACGAGCTGTGGAGGACGAGCTGTGGAGGACGAGCTGTGGAGGACGAGCTGTGGAGGACGAGCTGTGGAGGACGAGCTGTGGAGGACGAGCTGTGGAGGACGAGCTGTGGAGGACGAGCTGAGGAGGACGAGCTGTGGAGGACGAGCTGTGGAGGACGAGCTGTGGAGGACGAGCTGTGGAGGACGAGCTGTGGAGGACGAGCTGTGGAGGACAAGCTGTGGAGGACGAGCTGTGGAGGACGAGCTGTGGAGGGCTGGAGCGCAGCAGAGAGCAAGGTGGTGCAGGGACCTGGAAGTTGTGCTTGTTAAAATTTTCAGGCTAAGTCAACGTTTTCTCAAAACTCCCTACTGGAGCTTTAAGTTTATTTTTAGAATACATTACAATCACTCCAAAAGAGATGATGACGACTTATAAACACACACACACAGCGAGCTGCACTGTTTAGCTTTGGCTTCGCGGCCCCTGAAGGATGCGTTCATTTCAGCGCCATCAAAATGACTTAATCTAACGTCAGTCAGCTGCTGAAGAGTTGCATTTTTGTACCCGATCATACATTCAGAAGGTGGGATCCATTTTGAAACGGTGACATGAATTGGTTTCATTACAGGTGAACGACAATTCATCCAATGGACAAACAGCCTAGTATTTACTTTGATAAGTGGCCTGGTGTATAAGGTTTACAGACCCTTTAACATCTGTTGTAAAGATTCATCGGATTCAAACAGTGAAGAGTGAATCAGAGGGCATGAGGAATTATTTTCACCACAGAGTCGTGACCTTTAACCCCATTGAAAGTCTTTGGAATGTGCTGGAGGCTTTACAGAGCAGTTGTCAATGCAAGATATCAGCCAAACATTTACGCAACTCTTGATAAATGTTGTGATGTTGCATAATGCTGTCGAAACATTGCCATGACGAATGCACACTAATCAGAGTGTGACATGTTTTTGGCCAGCTGAGAATGAAGTTGCTCTAAACCGGTCTAACTGCTTATCTAGCTGAGAAACACAGACAGTTGAACAGCAGCTCATTCGGATAGGAGAGCAGATTCTCACCCGAGGACCACGTGTAGTGAAGTTAGGGTCAGTGAAGTGCTTTCCCTCCAGCTCTCCCAGTTTTAATGCACGTTTCTTGCAGCTGAAGTTTCCCAGCTCCAGGTTCATGAGGCTTTTGTTGAGCTGAGATAATCTCTCAGCGCTGATCCTGAGGAGAAACATGGCCTCCATAGTGACCTTGTTCTCCTTATAAAGCACGAATGCTTCCCAGGGGCTTCAGTGGGAGACAGAAAAGAAGAGATGAAAGACACTAAATGAAAAAGGACAAAATATATAAGCAGAGACTGAAACATATTACTGAGTTTAATTGCTTTATTTTATTTTCATAAAGAAAACATACATGGTCAATACCAGTAAAGCAGCAGCTATGCAAGGTTAGAGTATTGATGAAAACAATCTCTGAAGCTGTACGAGCTTCGACACTTAAGCCATATTATATCTAGAGCACTTACAATAACTGTGGAAAGTAAATCTCTGTCGAGTCATTAGTATAATTCAATATAATCAATATTACATTTTTTTTTTAATTCTGCCGAGTTCAATATAAATCAAGCACATTTCCTGATGTGGACGTTAACATCTTTATAACACACAGTGTTCGGGTCCTTCACTGTCGTCAGCTGGGAAAAAGAAAAGCAGCGGACGGCAGAAAACAAACAAAAACAAAAGTCCACATTTCAAAAATAACAAAAACATAACAAAACACATGTAATCATATTTAATGAAAACTACACCTCTACATTTATCTTGTCAGATCTATTCAAAAAAAGATTTATTCTATCTAAACAGTTTTTCAATAAGCACCAACGTTAATTTCTGCATCACAGAATACAGTACAAACTCGTACAAAGAAAATCTGAAGATCGTGTAAATTGTGATTATTATGCAAGATAAGGAAAATACTTGTGAAAAAGTAAATTATCTCCATCACCACTCCGCCTCTCCTACAGCCTTGGAGAACACATAGTCTTTCCCTCCGTAACACATCACACCATCCTTCAGGTAAAACTTCCAGCGGTTTTTGCTACGGTGGATCTATAAAACACAACAAAAAATATATATATATTTCTTTGAAAATGGTTTTGTCTGGGAGATTTGCGCCAACTAAAATAACTAAAATACAAATGAATATAGATTTAGTCCGTTCACATGATTAAACTGAACTGGAAGATCTTCATCTGTCCAACACAACGAGTGTCATTGCCGGCGACTTCATTCACATAATCAAAACCACACATTGGCATTATTTATTAATATTCTCAACCATGTCGGATTCAGACAAAATGTCTTCCACTCACGGTCAGAATCATAAACTAGATATAGGTCTGTCATAAGGACCCAAGATCAGACCTCATTTGTTCTAGCGGATCACACACACGTTTGATTTTTCAGTGGCCACCTACAGCACGACACATGCACATCTGCTGTTTTCACATGCTCCATATTCTCAGTATTCTCTGCAAAACTAAAAAAATGCCATTATTCTGCACAGGTTTAACCATGTTCTCACTCAGAAAACACAAAGACATAAATAACTACAGCAAACACAACCAACACAGGTTCTCACCATACACTTACACTAAGTAGTAAAACTGATGAAGCACCAGTCAGAATGCGACAGAATGAACCCTGACAATGGTGAAAGAGCTGAAGAGCTGGGACACACAGAACATCTGTTCCATATGAAATGTGAGCAGCACTAGATGATGATGTATATTTATTGCATTAAAACAAAATCGTATATGTAACTAAAACATGAACTGTTACCTGATTAAATGTAACGAGTGGTTCCCTACACTATTACAGGATGTTTGCAGGTCCAGAAGAATCATGAACGCAAACATCTGAAACGTGCGCCCCGAACACTGTATCTCCACTCCCTCAGTCTCGCTCCCTCAGTCGTCTCGCTCCCTCAGTCTAGCTCCCTCAGTCGTCTCGCTCCCTCAGTCGTTTCGCTCCCTCAGTCGTCTCGCTCCCTCAGTCGTTTCGCTCCCTCAGTCGTCTCGCTCCCTCAGTCGTCTCGCTCCTTCAGTCTCGCTCCCTCAGTCTCGCTCCCTCAGTCGTCTCGCTCCCTCAGTCGTCTCGCCCTCCCTCAGTCGTCGTCTCGCTCCCTCAGTCGTCTCGCTCCCTCAGTCGTCTCGCTCCCTCAGTCGTCTCGCTCCCTCAGTCGTCTCGCCCTCCCTCAGTCGTCGTCTCGCCCCCTCAGTCGTCGTCTCGCTCCCTCAGTCGTCTCGCTCCCTCAGTCGTCTCGCTCCCTCAGTCGTCTCGCTCCCTCAGTCTCGCTCCCTCAGTTGTCTCGCTCCCTCAGTCTCGCTCCCTCAGTCGTCTCGCTCCCTCAGTCTCGCTCCCTCAGTCTCGCTCCCTCAGTCGTCTCGCTCCCTCAGTCTCGCTCCCTCAGTCGTCTCACTCCCTCAGTCGTCTCGCTCCCTCAGTCGTCTCGCTCCCTCAGTCGTTTCGCTCCCTCAGTCGTCTCGCTCCCTCAGTCGTCTCGCTCCCTCAGTCGTCTCACTCCCTCAGTCGTCTCGCTCCTTCAGTCAGTCGTCTCGCCCCCTCAGTCGTCTCGCTCCCTCAGTCTCGCCCCCTCAGTCGTCTCGCTCCCTCAGTCTCACTCCCTCAGTCGTCTCGCTCCCTCAGTCTCACTCCCTCAGTTGTCTCGCTCCCTCAGTCGTCTCGCTCCCTCAGTCTCGCTCCCTCAGTCGTCTCGCTCCCTCAGTCTCGCTCCCTCAGTCTCGCTCCCTCAGTCGTCTCGCTCCCTCAGTCGTCTCGCTCCCTCAGTCGTCTCGCTCCCTCAGTCGTCTCGCTCCCTCAGTCGTCTCGCTCCCTCAGTCGTCTCGCTCCCTCAGTCGTCTCGCCCTCCCTCAGTCGTCGTCTCGCTCCCTCAGTCGTCTCGCTCCCTCAGTCGTCTCGCTCCCTCAGTCGTCTCGCTCCCTCAGTCGTCTCGCCCTCCCTCAGTCGTCGTCTCGCCCCCTCAGTCGTCTCGCTCCCTCAGTCGTCTCGCTCCCTCAGTCGTCTCGCTCCCTCAGTCGTCTCGCTCCCTCAGTCTCGCTCCCTCAGTTGTCTCGCTCCCTCAGTCTCGCTCCCTCAGTCGTCTCGCTCCCTCAGTCTCGCTCCCTCAGTCTCGCTCCCTCAGTCGTCTCGCTCCCTCAGTCGTCTCGCTCCCTCAATCGTCTCGCCCTCCCTCAGTCGTCGTCTCGCTCCCTCAGTCGTCTCGCTCCTTCAGTCAGTCGTCTCGCTCCCTCACTCAGTCGTCTCGCTCCCTCACTCAGTCGTCTCGCTCCCTCACTCAGTCGTCTCGCTCCCTCAGTCAGTCGTCTCGCTCCCTCACTCAGTCGTCTCGCTCCCTCAGTCTCGCTCCCTCAGTCTGGCTCCCTCAGTCTGGCTCCCTCAGTCTCGCCCCCTCAGTCTCGCCCACTCAGTCGTCTCGCTCCCTCAGTCGTCTCGCTCCCTCAGTCGTCTCGCTCCCTCAGTCGTCTCGCTCCCTCAGTCTCGCTCCCTCAGTCTCGCCCACTCAGTCTCGCCCACTCAGTCTCGCTCCCTCAGTCTGGCTCCCTCAGTCTGGCTCCCTCAGTCTCGCCCCCTCAGTCTGGCTCCCTCAGTCGTCTCGCTCCCTCAGTCGTCTCGCTCCCTCAGCCGTCTCGCTCCCTCAGTCGTCTCGCTCCCTCAGTCGTCTCACTCCCTCAGTCGTCTCACTCCCTCAGTCGTCTCGCTCCCTCAGTCAGTCGTCTCGCTCCCTCAGTCAGTCGTCTCGCTCCCTCAGTCAGTCGTCTCGCTCCCTCAGTCTCGCTGCCTCAGTCTCGCCCCCTCAGTCTGGCTCCCTCAGTCTCGCCGCCTCAGTCTCGCTCCCTCAGTCTCGCTCCCTCAGTCTGGCTCCCTCAGTCTCGCTCCCTCAGTCTCGCTCCCTCAGTCTCGCTGCCTCAGTCTCGCTCCCTCAGTCTCGCTCCCTCAGTCTCGCTCCCTCAGTCTGGCTCCCTCAGTCTCGCCCCCTCAGTCTGGCTCCCTCAGTCTCGCTCCCTCAGTCTGGCTCCCTCAGTCTGGCTCCCTCAGTCTAGCCCCCTCAGTCTGGCGCCCTCAGTCTCGCTCCCTCAGTCTGGCGCCCTCAGTCTCGCTCCCTCAGTCTGGCGCCCTCAGTCTCGCTCCCTCAGTCTGGCGCCCTCAGTCTCGCTCCCTCAGTCTGGCGCCCTCAGTCTCGCTCCCTCAGTCTGGCTCCCTCAGTCTCGCCCCCAGTCTCGCCCACTCAGTCTCGCCCACTCAGTCTCGCCCACTCAGTCTCGCTCCCTCAGTCTCGCTCCCTCAGTCTGGCTTTCTCAGTCTCGCTCCCTCAGTTTGGCTCCCTCAGTCTCGCCCCCTCAGTCTCGCTCACTGCCCACTCAGTCTCGCCCACTGCCCACTCAGTCTCGCCCACTCAGTCTCGCTCCCTAAGTCTGGCCCACTCAGTCTGGCTCCCTCAGTCTCGCCCCCTCAGTCTCGCCCCCCTCAGTCTCGCCCCCCTCAGTCTCGCCCCCCTCAGTCTCGCTCCCTCAGTCTCGCTCCCTCAGTCTCGCCCACTCAGTCTCGCCCACTCAGTCTCGCCCACTCAGTCTCGCCCACTCAGTCTCGCCCACTCAGTCTCGCTCCCTCAGTCTGGCTCCCTCAGTCTCGCCCACTCAGTCTCGCCCACTCAGTCTGGCTCCCTCAGTCTCGCCCCCTCAGTCTCGCCCCCTCAGTCTCGCCCACTCAGTCTCGCCCACTCAGTCTCAGAAAAAAAATATATGCAAAAAAATCAGTATACTGTTTATTTTCCAATTTTGTCAAAACAAAACTGTTTTAAAAAATGTTTTAAAAACATTTTCATAAATCATATTTTCAGATATAATGTTTTTGTAATGTTTGACAAATGCTGATATTAAAAGTTTACAGTTTGTATCTAAATCTTTGTTGTTTTTCATAGTGTGATTTTTGAGGAATTGTATTGAATCCAATTAGGGTCAATTTGACCCGGTCCATAAGGGGAGTACACAGAATTCGAACAGAACACAAGGGTTAAGTCAAGTCAAGTCATCCTTATTTATATAGCGCTTTTAACAATGGAGATTGTTTCAAAGCAGCTTTACAGAGATAAACATACAATTTACGGTAACAGAGATTGTTTAGGCTTTATAGCGATTTTTGAATAATGTTATTTCCAGCTAAAGTTAGTTTTGATTATTCACTTCCAGCAAAATTATCATTTGTTATTACATTAGGGGCCACTAAGACGACGGCGTTCTCTCTAAACAGACTTTAAACGCGAACCTGTGACCTGATGGCGTTCACATGCGCATTAAAAATTGATTCTATAGTTATATTCGTTTGAATATGTGTGCGCAGGTTTGTAATTTCCCTACAAACCATGCCTAAACAAACTACTTGTATTACATAGTGATCTCAAACTTCTGAATGCTAGAGTACATTTAGAACAATTTAACACTCATAATTCTACAGGTTTTTTTCTTTTGGGCAAAATGCAGAACTGTTCTACATTTAGAACAGTGCGAACCTGTGACCTGATGGCGTTCACATGCGCATTAAAAATTGATTCTATAGTTATATTCGTTTGAATATGTGTGCGCAGGTTTGTAATTTCCCTACAAACCATGCCTAAACAAACTACTTGTATTACATAGTGATCTCAAACTTCTGAATGCTAGAGTACATTTAGAACAATTTAACACTCATAATTCTACAGGTTTTTTTCTTTTGGGCAACCCAATCTATGAACCCATAACAGTAAAGAATCATTCAAAAGACGCCAGCTTATTTTGCCTGTACAAAACGGTACGGTTTTATTTCATAGCTATCATCTTTATCCAGTGTGTGATTTTCAACTCCTTTCACCTCATTCAATAAAATCCCCCCCAAATAGTTTCTCTGTAGTTTTTACCTTATCATACTGGCAAACGATGACATTCTCTGTGTCAAAGATCTCTGGGATATCTTGTTCACTCACATCATCTCCAGAGTTCAGCGGATCCTGAGAGAACGCATGAGAAGAAAACAGAAGCGTTCATTTCTTCTCCTCTAAACTGGATCACACTTTCATGAGCACAGGATTGACAGAATCAGTGTGTGAGGAAATCTTCCTGCTCGTCCTCTTATGATGAGACCTGATTTCATTCATCATTCATGGGCTTTCGATTCATTCAAAAGCAATTTATGGATTTAACTGCATTTAAAGGATTTTTTCAAATACTTTCCATAATGTGTTGAGCAAGTGATCGGCTATTTTGAAAAAATAGAAAAATCGGAATAATAATAATAATATAAAAGATCAGACATTTTAGAGCTGAGCATAACTAGAAAAATGTCACATTTCTAAAGTCTTATTTCCATAATTATTTTTGAATTCTCAGATATTTTCAGGTTTTCCTGAAAATATTACAACATTAAAGTAATAATCGGACTACAATCAACTTCCTCAAAGTCTAATATGTAAATGTAGAAGCAAAATGCAATATCAACTATGATTTAAGACTCCTTAAACTCATGCCAGAAAAATGGCTGCTTTTATCTTCCAGATAATTAGTGTAAAAAGTAAAAAAAAAAAAAAAAAAAAAAAAAATTCTAACCCTTTACCTCTCTGAATGCTCACCATCTCTAAAAAGCCAAGCCAATGTTGATTCAGGTTTTGTTACAAACTCTGTCGCTTTGCCTTTTTGATTGTAGATTCTTCACCGTACGTAGTTTCTTTATTTTTATAACCGGTGATTCCCCGGAGGTTTGTAGTTTTGCGCGGTCCATCCATGGTCACGCTTTCTCACTCGTTGTAACAGCTAACCTGTGCTCTTCACACACTAAACACAAGCTACTCTTCTAAGTAGAGATAGGACACACACTGGCGAGTGGCTGACAGTATAACCACCTGACAGGTCTAAAATATAAACACTTATAAAAGGCTTACCTTAGTGAATCAGAGCAAGACAAAAACACACTTTAGAAGACAGATTTACCATACACTCACTCACTGTTTAAATTTGGTTAATTTTGAAAAAAGTTACATAGCAAAGCTTTAATAAGAGGCTATAGTCATCAGCATATTTCCTCGTAGAGTCGGCACTGGTCAGACTCTTGTAATCCTCTGAAAACTCTGACAGTTAGACCGGATCATTCTTTGGTTCAGTAACTGGTCTATAGTGTATCGTGTCTACGTGAAATGTCTCCACAATCTGCTTTTAAAGAGAGATTGTTGGTATGGTGCTACACTGCACATTATATCAGATTCTATCACAACACACCGTCCAACGCCACGCACATTCACATCACGTGTTAAACAACGCAGCAGAAGTGCATGCCATTAGATATTTTCAAAAGAATCAAATCGATCTAAAGATTTGACTGAAATGATACAGTTTATATTTCTGACGAAAGAAAAACAACAATTACGCAACAGAAAGCTTTGGTGTTTTGTGTTCTGCAAGTGCTTACATTACCTCTTCCTCTTCCAACTCCTCCTCCTCATTGCCATTGATCATTCCCAGAAACTCTTCCTCTCCAACCAGCCCCAGATCTTCCTCATCATCATCTTCCTCCGTGTCGGAGCTGCTGTCAGCGACTCCATCCAGTTGTGTGATGAAGTCGAGCTCCGTCTCAAGCTGATGAAACAGCATCAGTATCATATTCTGGGTTTGAAACGACAATCTTTGAGCAGAAACATTTATATGGAGTCATTAAAACTGCAAGGCTACATGATGAAAGAGTTCTTACTAAAATGAAAATGGTTACTGATCTCAAACACACGTGATTTCCTTTCTTCCACCCTCAAATCTCATTAACCCCTGTATCTTTCTTTATTGCTGTTCAAATACATGATAGAAAATCTAAGGCCTTCAAAAGCCATACAGCAAACCCATCTAATCTGGTGCCTATCACACGGCAAACTAAGATCGCTGTGGGGACAAAAAGTAAGACTGTTAAGTTAGCACTTTTAAACATCCGCTCACTTAAAAATAAATCACTTCTAGTCAACGACTTAATAACCACATACAACCTGGACTTTATGTTTCTAAATGAAACTTGGCTAGAAGACAGCTGCAGTGCAACAGTCCTCAATGAAACATCCCCTCCTAACTTTACTTTTATGAGTGTCTGCAGAGCGGGTAAGAGAGGCGGAGGAGTAGCTGCTCTTTTTAAAGATGTCTATCAATGTAAGCAAACATCATTTGGGAATTACCCGTCTTTCGAATATCTGGGTATTGTGTTAAAAGGTGCTCCACGTATTTTACTTATCATTATTTACAGGCCTCCAAAATACTCTCCAGCCTTTGCTGAGGACTTTACAGAACTGCTATCAACAATTTCCTCACAGTTTGACTGTTTTGCCATTGCTGGAGATTTTAACATTCACATAGATAATGCAGAAAACAATATGGCAAAAGAAATCAAAACTGTTTTAAAAACGTTTGATCTGACTCAGCATGTACATGGACCCACACACAATCGTGGACACACTCTAGATGTACTTATCAGTAAGGGTCTAAACATCTCATCGATTGTTATTAAGGATGTAGCACTGTCTGATCATTTCTGTATTTTCTTTGATATATTGATCTCTCCTGCCATTGAAGCTAGATCTGTGTCTGTCAAGAAGAGATGCATAAATGAGAACACTAGTGTGCTATTTATGAAGGCCATATCTTCAACTCCAAGCATATCTGCTGACTCTGTTGATTTTCTCCTTGATTCTTTTAACTCAAAAGTTAAAAGTGTAATTGATGATATTGCTCCTGTGAAAGTCAGGAAGAGTGGTAGACAAAAAGCACCTTGGAGAAACTCAACAGCTGTGCAAAATATGAAAAGACAATGCAGAAGAGCAGAGCGCATGTGGCGGAAGACAAAACTTGTAGTCCATTATAACATCTACAAAGACAGCATCCATGCTTTTAATATTGAACTAGGCAAAGCTAGACAGACTTTCTTCTCGAATATTATAAACAGCAACTTAAACAACACACGCACTCTTTTTGCTACTATAGAGAGACTGACAAACCCCCCAAGCCAGATTCCCAGTGAAATGCTCTCAGACAGCAAGTGCAGTGAGTTTGCTTCTTTCTTCTCTGAGAAAATCGAAAGGTGATCAGCACATCCTTGAGTTGCTCTGGGGTCAAACAGATCAGACCACTACCTGAGAAAGTAGTTACTATGTCTGATTTTGAAGAAATTGATGGCAACTTTTTGGAAGAAACCGTACAGCACCTTAACACATCAACCTGCGCCCTTGACACACTTCCCACATCTTTCTTCAAAAGTGTGTTAAACAGCTTAGAAGCAGATCTCCTAGAAGTGGTAAATGCCTCACTTCTCTCTGGTAGTTTTCCAAACTCCCTGAAAACTGCAGTTGTCAAGCCCCTCCTGAAAAAGAGCAATCTGGATAAGACCATATTAAGCAACTATAGACCGATTTCAAATCTTCCTTTCATAGGCAAGATCATTGAAAAAGTTGTCTTCAATCAGCTGAACAAATTCTTAAGCTCGAATGGATACTTCGACAATTTTCAATCTGGATTCTGATCACATCACAGCACAGAGACAGCGCTCATAAAGATAATAAACGATATTCGCTTAAATACTGATACAGGGAAATTATCAGTGCTGGTACTACTCGACCTCAGTGCTGCATTTGACACTGTCGATCACGACATACTTCTTGACAGGCTGGAAAACTGGGTGGGGCTTTCTGGGATAGTCCTAAAATGGTTCAGGTCATACTTAGAAGGGAGAGGTTATTATGTGAGTATAGGAGACCATGGGCCCTATTTTAACGATCTGAAACGCAAGTGTCAAAGCGCAAAGCGCAAGTAACTTTGTGGGCGGATCCCGGCGCTGTTGCTATTTTCCCGGCGGGATAAATGCCTCTTGCGCCTGGCGCAAATCTAAAAGAGGTTGGTCTGAAGTAGCTTCATTATTCATAGGTGTGGTTTGGGCGTAACGTGAAATAAACCAATCAGAGCGTCATCTCACATTCCCTTTAAGAGCAGGCGCGCTTGTTCTAAAGCGGATTCCTATTATAACGGTGGATTTACCAGGCGCGCGTCAGGAGCGGTTCACAGCCGAGGAGACCGACGTTCTTGTCAGGACCGTGAAAGACAGAGAAGTGACGTTGTATTGCGTGTTTTGCGTGCACCTGTAAACTATGGCATAAACCCTCATGCAGTAACACCCTCAGACGGCACTGTTTATTGACTGTCTGAAGTAGAATGCATGCAGAAATAACAAGAAATTCAACGTTCAAATCAGACTTATCTATCTATTTATCTCTCTATCTCTCTCTCTATCTCTCTCTCTATCTCTCTATCTCTCTATCTATCTATCTATCTATCTATCTATCTATCTATCTATCTATCTATCTATCTATCTATCTATCTATCTATCTATCTATCTATCTATCTATCTATCTATCGTGGGTGGGTTTCTCCCATCCCCATACAAATCAGCGTCGGTTAAACAGGCGTGGGAGGAAAAAAACTAAATTTTCATGGACACCACAATGATTTCCCTCATGTGTTAATATTTTTCCTTGTTATAATGTATGATTTGCAAAAATAAAAACTGCTGCATCTGTGTTGATGAGAGAATCAAAGTGTATGCGCGTTGTGCACCCGCTACATTATGGCCAAGCATGCGTGCTTAAAATAGCATAATGAACAACGCGCAACGCGCCACTGACTTTAGACTAGTTTTTTTCTGGTCAGTGGCGCAATTGTTTTATAGAACAGCAAAATAGCATGAGGGAAAGTTTGCGCCGGAACACGCCTCCTCTTTGCGCTGAACCGCCCCGGGGAGCGCAAGTGTATTTCTTAGTTAACCGACGTGTGTCTGTGGAGGGAAAAGTCCGCTTTGCGCGGGTGCAAAATAGGAATGATACATGCGTCAGTGTACAAAGTCATTTGCGCCGAGTGCAAGATAGAGCCCCATAAGTCTGAGTGGACGTCCATGACATGCGGAGTCCCCCAAGGCTCAATTCTTGCACCACTCCTGTTCAACCTGTATATGCTCCCAATGAGCCAAATAATGAGAAAGAACCGAATCTCTTACCACAGCTATGCAGACGACACACAGCTCTACTTACACACACACACACACACACACACACACACACAGCTCTACTTAGCCCTATCGCCTAACGACTACAGCCCCATTGACTCCCTGTGCCAATGCATTGATGAAGTCAACGGTTGGATGTGCCAAAACTTTCTTCAGTTAAACAAAGACAAAACTGAAGTCATTGCGTTTGGAAACAAAGATGAAGTTCTCAAGGTGAATGCATACCTTGACGCTAGGGATCTAACAACTAAAAATCAAGTCAGGAATCTTGGTGTGTCTCTAGAGTCAGACCTTAGTTTCAGTAGTCATGTCAAATCAATAACTAAATCAGCATACTATCATCTGAAAAATATTGCAAGAATTAGATGCTTTGTTTCCAATCAAGACTTAGAGAAACTTGTGCATGCTTTCATCACCAGCAGGGTGGATTATTGTAATGGACTCCTCACTGGCCTTCCTAAAAAGACCATAAGACAGTTGCAGCTCATACAGAACGCAGAGCAGAACCAGAACATATGAACATATCACACCAGTCCTCAGGTCTTTACACTGGCTCCCAGTTACATTTAGGATTGATTTTAAAGTATTATTACTGGTATATAAATCATTCAATGGGCTAGGACCTCAATATATTGCAGATATGCTCACTGAATATAAACCCAACAGATCACTCAGATCATTAGGATCACATCAGCTAGAAATACCAAGGGTTCGCTCTAAGCATGGAGAGTCTGCTTTTAGCTATTATGCTGAACCAGCTTCCAGAGGAGATCAGATGTGCTCCTACAGTAGTCACATTCAAATCCAGACTCAAAACACTTCTGTTTAGCTATGCATTTACTGAATGAGCACTGTGCCACTGTTCGTCCGACTGTTTTTACTGTACTTTATTTTTTATTTTTTATTCTAAACTGTTTTAATTATTTCCTCCTATGTAAAGCACTTTGAATTACCAATGTGTATGAAATGTGCTATATAAATAAACTTGCCTTGCCTTGCCTTAACATATTTAAACTGAAGAGCCATATTCAGTTACAACCCATTTTACATGCACATTTTTAATGGGTTAGGCAAACGCTTTTACCCAAACCAATTTACATTTAGTTCAAGGTCTACTCTTTCTACTGGCGAGTGGCTGACAGTATAACCACCTGACAGGTCTAAAATATAAACATTAGACTAACCGACTAATAAAATGTATCGACTAAGCCTCTTCTGTATGGAGGACCAGCTCTACCATATTTAAAAATAAATACAGAAATAAATAAATGCTCAATAAATAAATAAGCATACAATTAATTGCCCCAAAAAATACAATAAACACATAAATGTAGGTAGAAATTAAATTATACAGTGAGACATAAATGTATATATCTCTTAATTAGCTTCTTTATTTATTCACCTTTGTAATAATTACCTTATTTATTTATGTGCATGTTATAATATTTTTGTCTGTTTTATTCTTCCTTTGCATTTTTTTACACTATTTATTTCTTCAATGCTATTTATTTCTGCCTGTCGTTTTTACATTTCTGTATGCATTTCTGCTTCATTATGCAAATGAGGAGGGGCTGTGTCGTAAGGGGTCAACTTCTGCCCATTGGTTGGTTAGCATTTTACTGCATCGGTCGAATCTACATGGCTTTTCCCCGCCATTAAGCATTGTTTAGTGGCAATAATGCAACTCATTGGATGCTAGCTGCCGTAAACATCCAAAGAAGAAGAAGAAGAAGCATTGTTTAGTAATGTCAAACTCAGCAGGCAGACGTTCAGTGTCCGACCTCTTAAGGGAAGCTACTAATAGACTGGAAGAATTAGAACGCTGTAAGTTTGAGATTTGAAATGTTTTTCTGTGGTCCTTTGAACATTTTTTTTTAAACTTTTACTTTACTTTTACATAAACAGCTTCCAGTTCGAGTATTAGTGGTGTGGAACCTGTGGCCGGTGGCATGTAGATTCGACCGATGCAGTAAAATGCTAACCAACCAATGGGCAGAAGTTGACCCCTTAAGGCACAGCCCCTCCTCATTTGCATAATGAGGCAGAAATGCATACAGAAATGTAAAAACGACAGGCAGAAATAAATAGCATTGAAGAAATAAATAGGGTAAAAAAATACAAAAGAAGAATAAAACAGACAAAAATATTATAACATGAACATAAATAAATACTTAAAAAATAATTAATTAATAAATAAAGTTGAAAATTATAACGGACAATAAATAAATAAGGTAATTATTACTGAGAAAAACAATACCCTGGGCGTACTAGCTACTAGGATTTGTTTCAAATTTAGCATCCTGAACGGCCATTTCTTGGGGACGCAGTTCAGATGTCTGAGGTCTAGGATGGGCCTGAGGCTACCATCCTTCTTGAGGAAGAGGAAGTAACGGCTGTTGAAGCCTGACTCGCTGTGGGGCGGAGGAACTGTTTCCACACCACCTTCGCCAGTAAGCTTATTACTTTGAGGACGTGAGCCATGTTGCTCTTCACCGAAGAATTGACTATGTAGCAATCAAATGGAACATCACGAAAAAGCCCCTGTTTTAGTCACAGACAATGCATCTAACATAGATAAAGTTGGTTAATTGGGCAGCAACAACCATGTTAAGAGCTACAAACACCCTCAACCTGGCCTCACTGCATGCACTAAAGCTGCCAGCTCATGCAAGGATACTTGGATAAGTAAGACACGTGACTGGGTTTTTCTACAGAAGTGCTGTAGGACTCAAAAACAAAAATAGCTTGAATGAGTCAGACATATCTAACGCAGAGGAGTTAATTCATCCAGTCCCTGAAAACAGTAACTCATTTCAGACTGCCAAGAAATTGACCAGTTGTCAAGTCAAGTCGAGTCATCTTCATTTATATAGCGCTTTTAACAATGGAGATTGTTTCAAAGCAGCTTTACAGAGATAAACATACAATTTACGGTAACAGAGATTGTTTTGGCTTTATAGCGATTTTGAATAATGTTATTTCCGGCTAAAGTTGGTTTTGATTGATTCACTTCCAGCAAAATTATCATTTGTTATTACATTAGGGGCCACTAAGACGACGGCGTTCTCTCTAAACAGACTTTAAACGCGAACCTGTGACCGGATGGCGTTCACATGCGCATTAAAAATTGAGTTGTAGGTGCAGGCAGCAAAAAGCAACAACATACAGAAGAATAAAGTTCCTATTAAGAATAGAGAATGTATTAAAAAGCTGCTGTTTTCTTAAGTGCATGTTAAACATTTCATTCCAGAAACCTGTCAGGTAACACTTAGCTTCATATTGTTTTGGGGCTTTTAATTTGTCTGCTATCTCTATTTGGAGGTAGAAACGACTAGTACACAACACTGGTTTCATATTTATAGTTGTCTTGCATGTTGCATTGAAGTTTACCTTAATGTCATGATTAGTTTCAGCCTTCAAGTCTGGAAGAGCAGTTGATTCATCAGCTGCTCCGTCTGGCTCTTTTAAGGCCGTCTCCATCACATCCCGGGGATAATCCGAGCGCGGCCCCTGTGCTGGCGGAGTGAAGAACGATGAGGCGCTCATGTCGATGGGCTGCGGGCTGAACTCAATGTCGTCGAGGTTGAACTCACTCTGACTGTCAGAGGCTGATGGGGAGGGTTTGTCGTCGGTTTGTTGGCAGAGCTGATGGTGCAACGGTTGCGGAGGATTCGGCAGGGTCTCAGATGCTACACAACCAGATGGCGCTGGAGGACAGGGAACAGACAGATGGGCTGGGATGCTGCGAGCAACGGCCATGGGCCGAGAAACCGGGTTGGAATTCTGCTCAATGCGGGTCGGAGCGGGTCGGGTCAGGACATGCTGAGCTCCTCGCGTGACCATTACAGGAACATTGACTTTGTAGAAATGTCCTGAAGGTGAGAGAGGAACAGGGAAGAACATCTAAACATTATTTAAGCCATTATTTAAGCTCATTTACATCGAGTGGTTGGAATGGGGGATTCAAAGTCTTAGGCCACATCAGATTCAAATTCAATTGTCACTAGTCACAAGTACCAGCGAAATTAGCCATCAACCTGTCTATACAGACATACATACAATATGACAAGGGGGTAGACAGGACAGGAAGACAGAGCATTGAGAAAGAAAATACAGCATAACATGAGGAGAGGTGAGGAGAAAAAAAAGGCAACCCCCGGACTATGCTCCTGTGAGGAGTACAGTTTGGGAACAGTAAAAAACACCTCAGCAACATTAGCACAATCAGTACACTCCACAACATGAACACACAAGACTTGCAACAGGGGAGGGGAGTGGGGGATGGAGGTAACCCAGCACAGGCAGGCAGCGTACGGTCCTGCAGCCATTCTCGGCGCTGGTCACAGACCCGCCTGTCAGACTGGTGGTACAAAGCGTTGAAGGCGAGGGATGGGGGGTTGGGGGGTGATTGCATATCTGTATATATATGTAAGAGTTCGTGCATGTGTAGGCCTGGAGAGTCGCTGCGCCTGGCTTCATAATCTAGGTGTCTCAAGTCCGCAGGATTTTCATAGCGATACACAGCAAGTTGCCATGAAGACAACCCTGATCATGTCCCAGACAGAGTCAACAATCAGCAGGTGTCTGTGGGGAGTGGGGGAAGGAACGCAAGAGCGGCTCACTGCAGTGCTCTTCCGGGGGAGTTGTTGTTCCAACAGCGGCCTTGGCCAAGGCCAGTGCTGGATGAGGGGGGGGGCGAAAGCAGATAAGATTGGGATTGTTTGGTCTTGGGACGAGTAGCCGCATTCCGATTTATAAAGTCCCTGGTCCATTCTGGTCTCCGAAACGATCCATTTGCCTTTGCAAAGCTGTGAGCTTCTCCATGATGTTATCCATATAGTGGTTCATAGTCACAGTCTGAGTGCTGACAGCTCTGCCCACTGCTTCAATCATGACGGGCATCCTTGTGGAGCTTTGGACAGCTGTCGCCGACTTCTTAATTCCTCGATAAACCAGGGCAATGCCTGATCCAATCAGCAGAAAACCTGTTATCATGGTTCCGAATAGGTAGATATCTTCAATGTCCTCCACGGAAAGAGCCGCCAGACACACGACCCGCCATCTCTCCCACGTGTCCATCGTGTAGCCAGCTGCGAACGTTCCGGCAGGGCAGTCAGGTTCCCCCGAACCCAAGCTTCTCGTCGAGAAGATGGTGTCAATTGCGTTGAGAGACCAGTTGATCAAATCCATAATTTCTTAGTTTTGGAGAGCAGTGCGGAGAGAGTCTCTCAAAGTACAAGACAGTAGACTAGACGAGACGAGAGGAGCAAAGCAGGGGAGTTAAGGGAGAGGAGGGGAAGAAAATGCGACCGCCTTCGTTGAGAGCCAAACGAGAAGGACACACGAAACCACCGAAACCGACTGAAAACAATGTGGTATACATGTCAGACCAGTATGTGGCGCTGTAACTCTGCCACAGAGATACACTAAACAAGGAGAAGACGACTTAGAGATTTGGCATAACCTTGCGTAGCATAGGAGCAGAAGAGCTTTAGTAAAGCTAATAGGCTCAGTAGCTTCTGCAGCACGACCACACGCATATAGTCCGCCATTGTTGTTGCCGTTATGCGTGACGTAGGGGTGTGTGACTAATGCTGACACGTGGTGTGATGACATCATCGTTTCACAAAATGTACACAAGAAAACACAAGGGTGTCAGTTTCAGATTTATCCACTCTGGGACCCGGTTTAAAAAAATAGCGGTTTTAGTGTCCAAAACGCCGGATCCGTCTGGACGAAACGGCAATACGATACAAAATTTGTATGTATACAGCTAAACGCATCTCAGTGTGGACAGGGCCTTAGACAGTGGTCTTCTTCAACTAGGTCTTGTCTGTGGGAATCAAGAAACTGTTACAGGGGTGCAAAACTCAGTTCCTGAAGGGCCACAGGCCTGCAGAGTGTAGCTTTAACCCTAATTAAATTCACCCAATCCAGCTAATCATGTCCTTCAGGCTTTTTTGAAAACTACAGGTACTGTATGTGTTGGAGCTAACCCTTCAGGACTTTTGCACATCTTCATGCACAGAGCCTCGAACCTAATAAGCTGAGAAATATTTGCCTATTTTTAGATTTCATTCGTTTTCTTTGAATACGGAAAATAACCTTAATATTTATTATATATATATTTAATACTTAATATATATTTAATAGTTAACCTTAATATTTAATATTAACCTTAATATCGGATCGCTGATCGATTGCTCCTGTCTGCCTCGCTGCCTGCTGTGTGTTTGTTTGCTTCGAGGTTGTAAGCTCCACCTGAGCCTCGTATTTCTTTCTGTTTTGAGCCATCATTTATCATTTACTATCATTTCTAGTTGTTTATATTACTAAATACAGCTTACCCAACATCTGAGATTAACCTTACATCTCTAGCTTCCGTTATTGTTAACACAGCACGCTAACTCGCTAACGTTAGCCTGTTAACGCACCACCCGTGCGATTTATTTATTTATTTATTTTCTCTCGCGCGCCCGCGCCTTTGAGTTCATAAGTCCAGTTAAGTAAGAATCATTTAACAAACACGGTGAGTAATGTCTTCTTGTCCTGTTATTGTCACCTGTGTCACGTGTCATATGTTTAGTATAGCCTTCTCCGATGGCAATATAGGATTTATATGTGATAAATGCAAGGAGACAGTCAGGCTGACGGAGAAGATTTCAGAACTAGAGACACGCATCCAAACTTTAATTGAGGATGGTAAGAATGCTAGATCTTTAGATAGTGTTTTGGATGCGCCTAGCATAGTGAACTCTTTACATGATTCGGTTCCGGCTGAAGTAGAGCCCGTGCAGCAGGGCAGATGGGTTACTGTGAGAGATCACCGCTCTAGTCGCGGATCAAAGAACCACTCTTCCGTTCCGATTCCCATAACAAATCGATTTGCCCCACTCAGTGAAACACCCACTGAGAATTCTGTTGATTGTGCCCTGGTAATTGGTGATTCGATCACACGGAACGTGAAAATAGACACACCAGCCACCATAGTCACATGTTTGCCGGGAGCCAGAGCGCCTGACATCAAAGCAAATTTAAAAGTGCTGGCTAATGCTAATCGTAAATTCTCTAAGATCATTATTCATGTCGGCACTAATGATGTTCGACTCCGCCAGTCGGAGATCACCAAAATTAATATTAAAGAGGTGTGTGAACTCGCAAGTATGATGTCAGGCACTGTAATTTGCTCTGGCCCCCTTCCTGTTCGCAGGAGTGATGAGATAGTTAGTAGATTGGCCTCACTGAATCGCTGGCTGTCTGAGTGGTGTCCGCAAAATAATGTAGAATTCATAGACAATTGGAAAAGTTTTTTTGGGGAAGCCTGACCTGTTGAAAAGAGATGGTATTCATCCCTCCTGGGATGGTGCTGCTCTTCTCTCTAGTAATTTGGCTCATAGTCTTAGAGCTAAAACGTGACAATCTGGGGCTCAGGTCAGGAAGCAGACAGACTGGCTAAACCGACCGTCTGCTAGCGGCCTCACGTCACCAAGGTCAGATAAATCCCATCACATAGAGCCTCTTTCACCTAGATATCATCATATAGAGACTGTGTCTGTTCCCCGAATTTGGAAATCCAAAAAACGTCAGGTTAAAAATGTAATTGATGTTCAACAAATAAAAAACAGATATAATACAGATGAGCAAATGATAAAGCTTGGGTTGCTGAATATTCGATCCCTTACTCCAAAATCACTCATAGTTAATGATATGATTTCAGATTATAATCTAGATGTGCTGTGTTTGACAGAAACCTGGTTAAAACCAAATGATTATATTACTTTAAATGAGTCAACCCCACAAGATTACAGTTATAAACATGAGCCTCGTCTGAAAGGCTAAGGGGGAGGTGTTGCTGTAATTTATAGTAATATTTTCAAAACCACTAAGAAATCTAGTTTTAAATATACTTTTTTTGAAGTGTTGGTTCTTAATGTAAAAATATATAGTGTAAACGATAAATCACATTTGAGAATTCTGCTGGCTACTGTATACAGGGCACCATAAAGATTTTATCAAAGAATTTGCTGACTTTCTACCAGAATTAGTATTGGCTGCAGATAAAGTACTAATTGTTGGTGATTTTAATATACATGTAGATAATGAAAAAGATGCATTGGGATTGGCATTTAAAGATATTGTAAACTCAATTGGAGTTAGACAACACGTGTCAGGACCTACTCATTGTCGTAATCATACTCTAGATCTAATACTATCACATGGAATAGATATTGATGCCGTTTAAATTCTGCAGCAGAGCGATGACATCTCAGATCATTATCTAGTCTCATGTAAATTACATTTAGCCAAGGCTGCAAAGCCGACTCCGTGTTATAAATACGTTAGACCTATAACTTCTGCCACTAAAGATTGCTTTATCAATAATCTTCCTGATCAGTTTCATCATCTCAGCATCCCAGATAGCTTAGAATAACTCGATATTGCAACAGAAACTTTTAACTCTCTCTTTTCCAGCACTTTAGACGCAGTTGCTCCATTGCACTTAAAGAAGATTAAAGAAAATAGTCCAACTCCGTGGTACAACGAGCACACCCAGGCCCTTAAGAGAGCAGCCAGAAAAATGGAGCGCAACTGGAAGAAAACTAAACTAGAGGTATTTCGGATTTCATGGAAAGAGAGCTCGATTGCTTACAGAGAGGCTTTAAAAGCTGCTAGATCTGCTTATTTTTCAACCCTATTAGAAGAAAATAAACATAATCCTAGGTATTTATTTGAAACAGTAGCTAAACTAACGAAAAAGAAAGCTTCAAGCTCAGAAGTGTCCAAGCAACACAGCAGTAATGACTTTATGAACTTCTTCACTTATAAGATCGATAATATCAGGGACAAAATTATAACTATGCAACCGTCTACC